TTTAAAATTTCTCAGTTATAACTTCTAATCATATACACATATATATTTCCAACATTAACAAAAGAACGCTCTTTGGAGTCCTCAATAATATTTAAATGTGTAAATGGGTGCTAAGGTCAAAAGCTGGACACCATGCTGGCTGGATAAGTATTGAGCAATACAGGACTGTAATATCTCCAGAAAGTATCCTTTTTTTTTTTTTTTTTCCAGAAAGTATCCTTTAAATTGAATCACATTGAAGTAAGCCAGACAAAGACAAATATCATATGAAATCCATGGCTGATTCATGTCAGTGTATGGCAAAAACCACTACAATATTGTAAAGTAATTAGCCTCCAACTAATAAAAATAAGTGGAGAAATTAAAAAAAAGAATAAAGATCAGAAAAAAAATCATATGATATTGTTTAAATGTGGAATCTAAAACAAAACGATTCCAATGAATTTATTTACAAAACTGAAGTAGACTCATAGAAAACAAACTGATGGCTACCAAGGGGGAAGGGGGAAGGGATGGGGGGGATAATTTAGAAGGTTGGGATTAATATTCATACACTGCTATATATAAAACAGACAACCAATGAAGGCCTACTGTATAGCACAGGAAAATATACTCAATATTTTGCAATAACCTATAGGGGAAAAAGAACCTGAAAAAGAATATATACATATATATGTATTAAGGACTTCCCTGGTGCCTCAGATGGTAAGGAGTCTGCCTGCAACTCAGGAGACCTGGGTTTGATCCCTGGGCGGGGAAGATGCCTTGGAGAAGGAAATGACAACCCACTCCAGTATTCTTGCCTGGAAAATGCCATGGATGGAGGAGCCTGGCAGGCTACACTTCATGGGGCTGCAGAGTCAGACGCGACTGAGTGACATCACTCATATATATGTAAAGTATTTACATTACTTTTCCATACACCTGAAAGTAACACAGCATTGTAAATCAATTGTACTTGAATAAAAAATAAATTTAAAAATAAAATAAGATAAAATGCATCACATTGTTTTGCTTTTTATGAGTTGTATCAGTCTGAATACTTGCAAAAAAACAGCACACTTTGAAGGGACAATTGTAGAAATTTTCAGGAAAGGACTATATAAAAAGGGGGAAGCACCTGTGACTGCATGTAGGCTGTGTGCCATTCTTGCCTCTGAAGAGGCAAAGAAAAAGAGTGGTTTTTGGAACCAATTATACCTATAGCTGTACAACATGGCTGTTTCCAAGAAATCAAGGAATCATGGCAGGGTAGGCAGGCAGTGAGCTTGCTAAGAATAGATCCCAATTTTGTGGGATTCGAAGCTTATATGTATAATTTGCACTGTCTCTATAAGGAAAAGAACACATACTTAAGTATAAAAATCAATCTTTGTTTACATGGTAAAAAAATCACAACTTACAAACTTGAATAATCAAAAAAGTACCATAAAAACATTACAAAATCCGCCCCCCCAAAAGCATACTACTTTATTAACAGCCTGACATATCTGTAAAATACTTTTTTTTTTCATTTTGAGTACATACTTTTTGATCACCAAAAGAGGTAAAAATTTTCAATAGAGAGAACAGAAAGGTAATTCACTCTTCCTTCTAGCATAGTTTATCAAAATTTGTGTTTGTTATTTATAGCTTAGAAAACTTTCATTTTGACTTTATACCTTACTACTGATGATGCCATTTAAAATTGATGAATTATAGGGTATTCCCTGGTGATCCAGTAGTTAGGACTCCACATTTTTGCTGCCGCAGCCTGGGTTCAATCCCTGGTCAGGGAACTAAGATCCTGAAAGCCATGCAGCATGGCCAAAAAAAAAAAAAAAAAAGAATCTTAGCTTAGTGGAGTGAGGAGAACAGGTAATGCAGTGATGGGAGATAAAACCGAGTGACAACAAGTGCTGGAGTTTGATAGGGGAGGTGAGAAAAGAGGGTCAGATGTTGGCAAGAGGCTAAGCATGGGTTTCTGTGCATTAGAAAGAGGAATCAAAGGCTCAGTGATGCTCACCAGACAGAGGAAAGACTACAGAAATACTTGGTAGCAGAGTCAGACATAACTCTGCCACTCTCTAGCTTGCGAAACTTTATGAATAATAACTAACTACACACGGAAGAGACTGCAAGTCAATTGTATTCCACTAAACTCAAGTAAATAATCCCCAACTCAATGTCTCCTTAGCAGGATGCCAAAAATAGCCACAGTCACTCCAGTGATACTTGATAAGACAGGTAATATGGTGAAGGGGAATTCGGATTTGAAAAGATGATGGTTATATCAATTGTGGTTAAATATCTTACTCATTTTATGAAGACTCATAAAAGTGCACATAAGCACTTTGTGAGGACTCCTCCCAAAACTTTGGAAGGAACATGTGTAGGCGAGGATTTCTAAAATTAAGCTTCATTAACTTTGTGGTAAATGTAACTTTGGAGCTAATATAACGAGTAACTTAGTCCCTCTTTTTGCCTAAGCTCTGATTTCATGCCAGCCCACCACTGGCTGAACTCAATAAGAAGGCAGGGTATCGTGGGGCCAAGCAGATGATAAAAATCAAGATTCCTGGAGTACAGATTAGAATCAAGAAGGATGGAGAGTAAATCTGGAGTAGCAAACAAACAAACAAACAAAATGCCTATTTTTCAAGAGAAGCAGATAAGCAAAGTGATGACCTGGAGAGAGATTGCATTTGATCCAATTCCTAGGGAAAATGAGAAAGAATCAAAAGTCCTACCACTTTAAGACACTGTGTAGGTTTGATCCCTGGTTGGGGAATTAAGGCCATGTGGTGCAGCCAAAAGAGAAAAAACAAGAAAAGTCCTACTGCTAAGCAGAGGAGGCCCAGGAAACAAAGAGCCTTTAGCATAAGGAGACACATAAATCAACAGGTACAGGAGATGAGCTTACATAGAACCACTGGAGGAATCGTGTACATCATTCCATAAATCATGTACATAAATACTTGAAAGTTCTCTATGGGCACTGTGTTTTCTTTTCTTCCTTCAGTTCAGTTCAGTCGCTCAGTCGTGTCCGACTCTTTGCGGCCCCATGAATCGCAGCACGCCAGGCCTCCCTGTCCATCCTTAGGGTTTTTTAATAGATTCAATGATCATAACATGACTTGGCAAAAAATTTTTGGTAGCCCTCCCTAGTTCCTTCTACTTAATTTAAGCTTGAAAGATTTACTCTCATGCAAATAATATTATAGACAGTGGTTAGATTTCCATTTCTAACCACAAAAATCCTTTTTTTTTTTCATACAAATTGACTGAACTAGACTCCCAAGAGTATGCAAACACTTCCAAGACCAAGCTCAAGCGTAAAAAGTGATATGAACCAGAAGTAAAAGAAAAGAAAGGCAGTCTATCTGGAATGAGGAAACTCCTGACCACAAGAAGATGCAAACGACTAGGGGAAGGGAAGATCCGAAGAACAAATACGATGACCTATGAGTGGGAGGTTCACACAGTGGAAGAAAAGATCTATAACGTGGCCTCAGGACGAGAAGTTGTAGGAGTACAGATCTCTGTTGAGGTCTAGGAGGACCATTTCCCCCCAGCTTTATTACGCCAAGTCTCAGACTTTGTAGACAATCTCTCTAGCTGGGTACAACCAAGTCTCTTTTCACGCTTTATCTAACTTAAACGTCTTGACAAGAGTAAAACGCCAATTGAAGATGTTTTCATGGAATAAGCCATTTTTGCACTGTTGAACTATTGAGCAATTTTCCTCTGGAATATCACAAAATATATTGTTATTTCACTTATTAAAATGCATTGCTCAAACATCTAGAAAATTAGTCACATTGACTTATGGAAGACATTTTATAAACTCTAAGGCAGCATTTCTGTTAATAAATAGTGGGTTTGGACATCTTATTTAACTTATTCTACATCAGGAGTAAGCCAACCTTTTCATGCTTGTTTATACTCTGTCATGGTGGTGAGACTTCACTGACCTTTATATCCTTTTTGCTGTGAAGATTAAGTGGTATAGTTTGGCAACCATCAGCAGTGTCCAGCACATAGCAGACACTCAAAAAAGGGGAACTTCTAAACCAAAAAGGGAATCTAAAGGACTATTAAGATTTAGAACTTGCAAATATTTCACTTTTCTGTGTTTTTTATTTTTATTTTAAACAACTTTTTATTTTATGTAGGAGTATAGCCAACCAACAATGTTGTGATAGTTTAAGGTGGACAGCAAAGAGTTTCAGCCATACATACACACCTATCCATTCTCGCCCAGATTACCGGCCCATCTATGCTGCCACATAACACTGAGCAGAGTTCCCTGGGCTATACAGCAGATCTTTGTTGGTTAACCATTTTTAAATGTATACATGTCATCGCTACTCTTTGACAAAGAAAAAATTATGCGACATTTGAGAATGTGATCACTGGTCATCCTTAAATGTAGAATCAGTGTTTGCATTTATTCCAAATTCCACCAGTCCTTTCAGTTGTAAACAAAATTGTTAACGTTAGAGCATATGACAAAACTTCATTTTGCACAGAGGAACTCAACCCTGGATTTCTTTCTCTCTTTTTTTCAGAGCTGAGAGCACGTTTAAGAGTTCAAAGCCCCACCCAGCAGGGCCTAAGCGTTCCCTCAAAAAAACTGGCAGGCCACCAACCGCCACCTCCCTTCAGGCCAATCCCTGAAGGATACTGATAAGCCGAGGAGACAGCCACATCGGGGTACGTGGGGTTCAACCCTACATTAGTTAATCTGGCTTGCGGGTCGGAGGTGCGGAGGTGCCGAGAGGCCGCTTCTTTCCCTATCTCTCTCCAGCCTCTCCTCTCCCGGAGTCCCTGCCCCTCAGCCCCGCCCCTATTTGGCTTCCAATCCCATTCCGCCTGGAGCTCAAGCGGCCAATCAGGTGGCGGCCCTGCCGAGGGGGCGGAGCTGAGTGGCGGAGACTGAAGTCGCCTATTTCAGCTGCCGCGCTGGAGACGCGTGAGCCGAGCCCACTTGCAAAGTTCTGCAGCGCCACTCAGACACCATGGCGGACAACCGGGATCCAGCCAGCGACCAGATGAAACACTGGAAGGAGGAGAGGGCCGCGCAGGTACACCCTGCGCTCTCCGAGCCGGCCCTGCGGTCCGCGTAGGGAGCTGGGTGTCCTCGAGTAACGGCCCCTGCTGCCCCAGCGCGGAGGTTCCGGGGAGGGAGGGCTGTACCACCGATCGCGGGGGGCTAGGGGTGTGCGTGCGCTTCCTTTTGGTCTGGTTGGACGGTTACATTCGCGGGCTGGAGGGGAGAGGGTTCTGGGCCCGGGGGCAGCGGTCCTGCAGGGTTTGTGGTAGGCTGCAGGTCGTGGGTGGTTGGCTTACATTTTTGCACCTTTGCCAGCTGGGACAGAGGTCGCAGTTTGAGGCAGCAGTGAAGGCTTATGGGGAAAGAGGCAGAGAGCTGCAGCTGCAAGAAAGGAAGTGACGGGGGAAGTGGGAGCAGGCTCTAGCTTTGCCCTCGCTCAAACAATAACTACCAGCTTTGGGGTGTGGGGGGGTGGGGGGTGTCTTGGGGGCAGAGAACGTGTTTTATCATCTCCATGTCCCCAGCACTGAACATAAAGCATTGTTTATGTGTTAGTTGCTCAGTCGTGTCCGACTCTCTGTAATCCCATGAACTGTAGCCCACCAGACTGCTCTGTCCATTGAATTATCCAGGCAAGAATGCTGGAGTGGGTTGCCATTCCCTTCTCCAGGGGATCTTCCCGACCCAGGGGTGGAACCCAGGTCTCCCGTGTTGCAGGCAGATTCTTTACCATCTAGGCCTCCAGGGAAGCACACATACAGCATTAAACAGCTAAATAAAAAGATTTGTACACCCATGATTTCTTTTGCACTTAAGAACATCGTCTAGCATTTTAGAGCTAGAAGTGACCTTAGTGATTAATTAATACATTTATTTACACCTATACTTTGAGTGCCAGCGCGTGCTAGGCACAGCGCTGGGGCAAGTGGAACAAATTCCAGTGAGGCCGGAAGCTCAAAGTCAAGTTTGGGAGTCAAGACAGGTAAATAGATGGTTACCTTCCAACGTGGTCAGGGCACTAATACAGGTTATCTGCTGAGTGTAAGGAGAGTGACTGACCCTGTTGGCAGGCTTCTCAAAGCAGGTGACATCTGAATGAGAACTTTACAGCTGAGTAGGAATTCAGCCGAGGAGTGGTTGGCCAGTCATTCCTGGCCTGTACGCCTAGGATGCAGAGCATTAAAGAGCATCTCTGAGCAGGTTGGGTGGGATGGGCACTTCTGTTTTGAGTCTTCTTTTATCAGATTGGCCTAGAGAGTCTTTGGGACTTGCCCAATTCCTATGGCGGCTGGTTAATGGCAGAAGAGAGGACTAGAGTCATGCTTTCCTCATCTTGTCTAGTGCTGTTTCTTCTTTTTAAAATTTATTTTTAACTGGAGGCTAATTGCTTTACGATATGGTGTTGGTTTCTACCATACATCAACATGAATCAGCCATAGGCAAACATATGTCCCTCCCCTCCTGAACCTCCCTCCCACCTCATGCCACCCGTCTAGGTAGTGACAGAGTACTCAGTTACTGCTCTTCCTTAAAACTGGGTTAGTGTTCATGAGCTAGTATTAATGCTGAGTGCTCATGGATTGCTTTGTAGTTCTCTGTTTGTGAGAAGGCTGCCATTCTCTTTAGAGGGCCTGGAAAATCTCTTTTCTCATTTTGTTCCTTATTATGTGCTCCTAGGGTATTTGGCTTTTCCTGAGTTCTCAGTCAAAATGAACCAGACAGACTTAGCATCTTATCAATCAAGGACAAGTGGCTAGTCAGTGGCAGAGTCAAGATTAGAACTCTGCCTCCTGGAGCCAGGACTCTCTGTATACCCAGTGGTTGCTGCATCTTGGTTCACAGGGAGGCTTTCTTGAATACTTGGTGAATTGGAAAAAATATGGGCAAATGAGTTTCTCATAAAACAAAATTCATTCTTTTGAAAGAACTCCCTTGAGACTAGCTTGCCTCATCACTGTTTGGGAGAATCAGTAACTGTTGTTAAATCATTAAGGTCTTGCTGGTGACTTGCCCTGCATGGTCACCCTTGTGAGAAATAGCTGGCCTGCAAAGCACATCTATAATCTGGCGACTCCTGGTTGAAATACTTCTGTCTCCTCTGCCCATGCATCTCAGTGCACTGTTTACACTGGCCTGATTGGCGGTCACATTGGTGTCTTGTTTTTCCTTACTTGAGCTGCTCTGAGTGAAAACTGCTTATTTTTATGAGGAGACTGCCCTCTTCCCAAAGGAATTTTGCATCTGTCACATACTCTTTGTAATTTTCCAATGCTTTCTTTGGAAAATTTTCAAACATTCAGAAAAGTGGGAAAAATTGTGTAGTATATGCCTATATACCCACCACATTTTTAAAAATTTCTTTTAACATGTAATTCCATATCTGTCTGTCCCTTCATACATCCCTTGACCTATGTTTTGGAGGGGCACTTCAGAGTATGTTGTAGACATCAATAGACTTGATGCAAATTACCAGAATTCATTGTTTAGTTATGTTTTTAAGGCAAAATTTATATACAAAAATATCCCAATATGAAGTGCCCCAGTCTGTGCTTTTTGATAAATATAAACACCTGCGAATCTGGTTCTTTTATCAAGATGTAGAAGATTCTCATCACCCTGGAATGTTCCCTCATGCTTTTTCCCATCTTTCCCTGCTCCTCCTGCAGTCCTGCTCCAGGCAACCACTGATGATTTTGCTTTTTAACCATTGATTTAGGTACTTTTTGTGTAATGCTGCTTTCATTCAGCAAATATGTTTTAAGATTAAAAAAGAATGTTTTAGGATTCATTCCTGTCATTGCATGTATGGCTGAGTAGTATTAATACTAGTACTACTAGTAGTAGTCTGTTGTCTGATTAGAGCACCGTGTGCTTATCCCGTTGTTGGGCACCTAGACTATTCCCAGTGTGTGGCTATTATGAATTAAGTTTCTATAAAGAGTCTTATACAAGTCTTTTTGTGCACATATGCTTTTATTTCTCTTAAAACATGCCTGTGAAAAGAATTGCCGAGTAAGTAAATAAGGTAAGTGAATGTCTTATGAGAAATTCCTAAGCCTTCTTCTGATGTGGTTTACCATTTTACACTTCTGTCAACAGTGTTTGAGAGTTACATTGGTCCACATCCTGCCATCCTTTGGGATTGTCGTTCTTTTAAGTTTAGCCTTCCTGGTGGATAAGAAGTGATATTTGCATTGCCCTGATGACCAGTGATGCATCTTTTCATGTGCATATTTGACCATTGGTATACAGTATTTCTTCCCTGGTGCCTCAGATGCTAAAGAATCTGCCCGCAATGCAGGAGATCTGGGTTTGATCCCTGGGTCAGGAAGATCCCCTGAGGGAGGAAAGGACAACCCACTCCAGTATTCTTGCCTGGAGAATTCATGGACAGAAGAATCTAGCAGGCTACAGTCCACAGGATCGGAAAGAGTCAGACATGACTGACGAACACACACATATGTATTTCTTTAATAGATTTGTTCAAATCTTTTGTCCTTTAAAACATTGGATTGTTTGTTTTACTATCCTTGATTCATAGCCCATGTTTTAAGTATAGTCACGCATGGGCTATGTGCTGTCATAGTACATCCCAAAGTGTATAATGGCATAAACATATTAGAAGTTTATTTCTCTCTTGCATGATCAGCCAAAATGGACTGAGGTTGAAGGAGGAGGTAGTGAGTCCTCGGCGGCCCACAGTTACCCAAGGCTGCAGGCTGAAGGAGGCTTCTTCTGTGTCAACACATGGTTTCTTAACGTTGCTCTCCACATCACTGTCTAGTCACAGACGATTAAGAACATGGAGGAGATTATGTGCGAGGTTTAGACGCCAGGCTGGAAGTGGTGTATGTCACTTCTGCCTGCATTCCTTTGTCTAGAACCCTTTCACATGGCTGCACCCGCTGTGAGGGAGGCTGGATGACAGTCTTCTTCTGCACCCAGGTCGCCAACCCTTCTACATTGTGTCCAAACATACTTTCCATGTGGTGACAATCTCTCTAGCCATTTTCTTCTGATGTGGTGATGGGCGAACAGGCATAATCTCTTTTAAAAGGGTATGTTGGACTTTTAAAATATTCTTTCTGTTAGAAATTTATGATGATAAAGTGTAGTATTTATTTTTTTCAAATCTTCACTTGCTTGGCAAGTGCTTTTTTAAAAAATAAGTGGGCAGTTCTGCATCAGTATCTTGCCTTCCACCACCCACTTTGTTTATATTTGCTCTGGACTGTGAGCGCTTTAAGTTATGGAACTGCTGCTGCAGGGCACCCTGCAGTCTACTCCCTCAAAAACCGGATGCTGAATGTCACGCTGGGCGTCTCCTCCTTTGGAACCCAGGTCAGCCAGCATGAAGACAATTTATGGGGCGTCCCTGCTTGTGGGCATGTTTCGTTGCTGACAAGTGAATTGAGACCTTTGTGAAATTTAATAAGCGAATGACAAATCAAATACATTCATAGGTATGACTTCAATCTTCTTAAAAATCTTTATTTTTCTTTCGCTCAAAAGTAGGTTTAGGGGAGGGAGGTGATTCTCCAGGTATTTCCAGTCCCTCTGAATGGAACTTGATGGAAACTTTGTTTATTGCTTAGAATGCCATTGGTTCTTCCTGTGGGAAACTTAAGGTAGTTAGTAGCCTCTGATCCCTTAAAAACTGGAGAATTTGAGCATTTCGAGCCTTACCTTTTTAAACAGTTCCTTATTACTTAGAAGAGAAGTTGGGTTTTAGACCATCCATTCCTGTCAATGAGTCATAAGACAGAACCTTTGAGGGTTTATGTATTTTTTTAGGGTAAACTTGGTAATAGCTGCAGTGACATAACATTGCCAACATTCAGGGTTCTGGAGAAGAGGTGACTGAATAACTTCTTGTGCACATGTGTTTTCATTTCTTGTGGAAACCACCTTTTCTGTTCATTTTCTTTCTAGCACTGTGACTGCTGTAGTTTCTACTGCTAAGAGTAAAGGAATCTTGCACTTAGTGGATCAGTCATCCTTCATTTTTTGAGCCTTTCTCTCCTCTTACTC